AATGCCTTAGGTGCGTATTGCAGTCGATGAGTGGCCGAAGCGACTTTGCCGCTGCTGGCAGTCAAATGCAGCAATTTCGATTAAATATGGTGTTCCCACATCTTTATTCATTGAGTTATATCTGCAATAATTAGAATCACAGGCTATAAAAATATTCACTCAAGTACTTAATCATACATTAATGTTATTAAACCGATATTTTAAATTGTTTAATGAGAACGATTAATTTAATACGAAGAAATAACTGTGTTAATATGTTGCGCATAATTAAAACTTAAAAAACCGCCCGCTGATCACAAAAATATATAAATATTTTATTTGGCTTGTGCTACCAATCGTTTGACGTTTCCACAATATACATACATATATACACAAAAAAAAAACCATACAAAAAAACATATAGTCGCATATCAGTGATTCATATGTTTAAGCATTTAACGGGTCGTTCTTTTGCTTTAAACGAGAGTTGATGTAGCAGAACTTACTTTTATTCAATTTACAATATAATGTATATCTACATTAGGACGGGTCGAAAATATAATTTTTCTCAAATCCCTTGGTAATAGTGAAAATATATTGTATCATGAAGTCAACAATAAGCCCGCAAAATATTAGTCTTTTATTTTAATAGTAAGAGCCCGCGCATCGACCGCCAAGTGACCCATAGCACACTAGTCGAATAAGACCAATTCTTGTTAAAAATTCNTTTTTTACATTTTTCACTTGGTTTCTGAAGTAATGAAGAATTGAAAATTCATAAGGGAAAATTGTCGTTTTTGTAAGTTTTATCTCAGTATCTTGAAAACTTGTAGACTTATTGAAAAATGATAAATGAACGTAAGGTAATAAATTTAATAACCCTTAATTTCACATATCGTCCTGTTTTTAGCAATTAACGCATTCCATAGATATTACAAGCCAAAGTTTAATTTTCAAAATTCATACTCTTTGATTCAAATGCGCGGGCTAAAGATAAGTTTCAAATCAATCTTTCGTGGCCAATAACAATTGGCTTAGAACTAAGACATCATAATATTACTATTACAATACGGTAAAATGCCTTTTATTTTCGCCCATACAAAAACGACCCAACCTAATATAAATATACGTACATATATAAGTATGTACATATGTATACTACACTTATAAACATATCCGCTTTAGAGCGTTTTATGAGTCGTTTAATCTTAATTTGCCTTAAGCGCCGTAGACAAAAAAAAACACGGAGCGTACGCTCGCAAAATGACTTGCATTCCTTAAGTGAATATGTATGTACATATATGTATTTAAACGAATAGCAAATAAGTTTGTGTTTTGTCATTGCGTACAAATTGATAATGGCCCACAGGCATGCGCAGATGCGCCAAACCGGCTAACAAGCGAGCGCCAAGCGCGCACAGATACCAACCACGACGCACAGATAGCCATCTGCCTACTCCTACAAGATTTCATAAATACATATGTACATGTATGTGTTCGTTTACTTGCATGTGCTTTTTGTTCTTGCAAATTTATTGAAGATCACTAAAGAATGAAATAATTATAGAGTTGTAAAAGTACCTATGTACTTATAAATTTTTTTTTTATTTTTATACATATTTACTCAAGTGACGCGGCGTATCAAGCACATGGCAACTGATATAAACATCTTACACTGATGAGTGGTATGAATGCATGTCATGAATTTAATCGCAACAAGAAGCTGTCAATTGCTGTTGCCGGCATTTTTGCACTTCCTGTTTAATCGCCGGTTTCAGTTTGTGGGCGCTACAGCTAGCTACTGCTACTGCGAGTGCGCGAACACGCGCTCAGCCATGTTCCTTCTTCTCATTCTACAAATCTACAAACGCACACTGACAAACATATCACAAGTGCTTGTCTATAGAACACCGATGAACTGCGCTGATTGAGTGATGCTTTTTTGCCACTTGTTTCTGTTTTTTTTTTTTCTTTCTGATTTCTGTGGGTAAATTCCCCACCCAGATGCGCAAAATATTCCATTTTTAGACTTTAGAAAATATTCCGTAAATAAGAAACAGTTGAGTTGTTATATGTAAGTATTTATGAATTGATTTACTTCCTTATCAATGCGAATGTACATGTTTATCTATTTCCTTAAACTTTTTTTGACCATTGGTGTTTCTTGTGGGTATAAAAAGTGTTAAGCAGATGGTAATCGAAAAATAGCAAAAAGTACATATTTTAAAGAAAATATCCTAAACTTTTGAATAAGCAATAGGTATATGTAACGCCTTCATCTTTATTTATAGGTTTTTTTTTCGGAAACCCCAATAAAATTCTTCGCCTAATATTTCTAGAAGATATTTTAACCTTCAATCTACCCTTTTTAATAAACACCTTCACAAAGGGTTGGTAAGACCCATTATAGGGCGTTAACATTTATTTAAGAAAAAATTGCACGCTAAATAAATTATGCTAAACAACCAAAATAAATTCAGTGCATCTTTTTTTTTAACTTACATTCACATTCGTGTGTTTTTTTTTTAATCTTAACTGTTTTTATCGAAAACCCCGTTGCTTTTCATTTCATACAAACCTTGACTTCCCAATACAATTTTTTTTTTATGTTTTCAAGGCATTTTCCAGCTAAGGAAAATTCATAAATAGTTTTAAAATTATATCCTAATTAATTTGAGAATGAACTGCATATCATATGTATTTGAAAGAACCTTGTTTGATATTGCTAGAACCAGAAATTAAGCCATGGGACTCCGGAGTGGCGGAAGGCACATCATAGCACTCGGCTACGGCGGCAAGAGCACTACACAAATCTGAAAAAAATTCTGAAAACTGCAATAACTCTATGTTAAAATATTTAAGACCAAACCTGTTTACCCGGTTTTTTTCTTAATTTCAAAATTGGGAACCGAACTTTTTGAAATTACTCGGAATACGGCTTTGAAAAAAGCCGAATAATCGAACACCCTACTACATATAGGGTGACGAAATATTATAATAATTATTAATAGTCCTATATATCATTCTAGAGATGAAATCTAGATCTTCACAGATGGTTCCAAAATGAACTATGGAATAACATCTGGAGAACCTATATCAGGGGGGTTCATTTTGGTCATTATTGGTATCAAAACCCTCGGGCGGTAAAGACCAGCTCAATATGTATTCAGGAATGTCAAATATCCTTACGATCGCTTCGACCAGACATAGTCAGTCTTTACTGGATCACGAGTCACAGTGGTATTACTGCAAATAAGAAAGTGGACGAAGTTGATCTGAGATAGGCTTAAAGGAATCAATTTAACCCCACATTAGGGGTTCAAGCGAACAAGACAATAAGGATATTTAAAAACAACATATAGGAAAATATATGGGGAAATTGTCTGCAGGGCACAACATTGGGCCTATTTGACCGACTAGTGAACTTTGCCAGAGCTGCCTCAATAAAAAAATTTTAGCTTTCGGAAATATTTAGGCGGATAAGGTACATGAAGGAGGAAAATTAGTTATAGTTAAAACATCGAACCCAATCCAAATACATACGTAGCTTCCAATGTCTAAGAAAACTTATGAGTTCATTTGGGCCAACTAGCTTAGGTCAAATAGTCTTCCCTTCAGCTTGAAAAAGGTTGCAATATGTGATACCACGTTTAGGTGAATCGGAGTCTCGAAGTTACGGAGAAGGTTGGCATGAGACATGAAACAAACTTCGGTCTTAGTTTCGCAACAAATTAGGCTAGAAATGGGAGTTGCCTATGACCAAGTTTTCGCCCAGCGTTCGCTGAGCTGACATTAGGCCCATCTGTCCACATTTTACCCGTTTCACAGAAGTAGTTACTTGTGCCATCTATAACTATTCAACATAGAATATGCTCTGCGTTTTTCTCCATCAGGATACAAAACCTGCAGTCCGTCTCTACTGAAAATGCCATTTTATTTAAATGGACCTTAACTTGTAGTGTCCTTTCAAGTATTATATAAGAGTTCTCAGACCCTCTTGGCTTAGTTCAAATAGTCTTTCGAAGTTCCTCCTGGAAGGAGTTTTTAATTTCTTTAATTGCTTGATTCCTTTTGGCTTCCGCCATTAGGCTGAAATCTGAGATTCTTCCCGGCTACTAAGAAGCTCTGCAGTATATGCTACAGATATGCCAGAGAAAGGCTCACAACCCTGCAAGTGCATTTGGGCAACACCTTCTACGCGACAGTCCGTCCTTTTGTTGCCTTCATACAGTTCAAATCCAGGGTTCCTAGACGGTTCAAAAGATTTATACAACTGTCCACAAACCTCGAAATCATTCTAAAGGAGTCTATGGCTTTAAGTGCAATTTCATTATTATCCCGGCCACATTTGTCCTTCTACGAAGAAAATCTAGAACACAGGCTTCGAATGCGAAGACTTCCACCTGCAATATGGTTGGCTATGAGCTCATGGACAAACCTTTATGGAATCTTGGTCGAAGTACGCCAGTCCCAGTATTCCCGTCGTCCACCTTCTATCTATATACTTCATATCACAGCAGTCTCTTGGAGAACTTGTTAAAACAACTTCGGTAAAATATATGGGTAGACTCAACAGTCTTCTTTGACTCTCTCAAGATAAGTGAAGCCTTATACGAATTGCAGCAGTACTAGCTTTATTTACTTACTCGTAAAGAACTTGTCAGCTGCACAGCTTGACATAAGTACGAGTGTTATCTACTTCCTTGATAAGCACTACAATTTACTTACACATACAAAAGAAATCGCTTTAGGCCAACCTAAAGCCCCAAGATGAAACACAAACAGTCTGTCGATGTGCAAGCGGCGCGGCACAGCGTCGCGCGCGTGCGCACGACAAACCGTATCAACCGATCGAATTGCGGTGATTTTTCTCTTTGTTACTTGGACGCTTGCGTGAATTCATTTTTTGTTTCCTTCAGTTTGGCACACGCCTTTGTCTTGCGCCAATTTGGCGCGAACATGGCTGCTGTTAACACGCAGCGTCTGCGCACCAATCGTGAGATCGAACGCATGCGCTAATGATTAAAAAGCAAGCGTTGCGCAGATTTTATAATTATTTATTTAAGCACTGTGCAGGTGTAATGTACGCTTGAAGAGCAACTGACTGGTCATTCTACATAAATATATTTGCTTTTGCTTATGAAAGTATTGATAATCATACGTAAGTTTAATTGTAAGGCGAAGAGAGGGAGTGAAAAACAGTGGATTTAAAGTCAATAAATTCAAAAAAAAAGTAATCACAAGAAGAATATCTGTTTTATTAACTCCGATTCCTTAATGCATTACAGCTCCTGCTAAAGTCGAAATGTTCGCTGCCAGCAAATCCACCGCTCTCCTTGCTTTCAGCGCTGTTGCTCTGCTCTGCGTCCTCCTACCGGCCGTTGATGCTATACCCTCCATCGGAAATTACGTCAAACGTTTTGGTGTGTATAAAAATAGATGCGGAGAAATGCATTTCTTTATATTTAAGTAAGCAATTTTTTGTGTAATTATTCTCTCTCTCTCTCTCCCTCTTTTTCTCCTTTACAGACACCATTACCGGCATTGATTTTATACAAATTTGCCTCAACAACTGCGCGCAGTGCAAAAAAATGTTCGGTGACTACTTTCAGGGCCAGACATGTGCTGAATCCTGCCTCAAATTCAAGGGTAAAGCCATACCCGACTGCGAGGATATTGGCTCCATTGCACCATTCCTCAATGCGCTCGAATAGAGGGAGTAAAGACACTGTATATATCGAATCCCGCACTCATATTCAATACGTAAATTTTGCTGCTGTCGCTTTCGCTTGTTCACTGCGCTGTTGCGCGATTTTCGTGATACCCCCAAGCCATAACCGCCTGCTCACGCA